AGATTATCCATATAGTTATTACGAGTCAAGCTTATCATTGTATTGTATATTTAACTTAGTGATCTCCGAACGGTAAGTGTACCAAGGGCTAAGATCTCGAAGAAATAGCCAAAACCCAATAGAGGCATGGAAAAGGACCCTTCATCGTATTTTTTACTTTCGAGACTCGAGGCTACAGTATCGAGGCTTCTCGATACTTCTCGTCTCGATGCATACCTAACTGAAATACAGTTGCTCAATTCTCACTTTCTTAAGAGGGAGGTAATACACTGTATCTGCACCTTTATTAAGTGAGATTATGTGAACAAAAGAGAGAAAGAAAACGAAATAAATCAACAAATAATAGTTATTTCAACATTATTCGACAAAAATCTTAGTGAAAATAATTAATTTTTGTTTCTCCCGCTATGTTACAGTCTTTTCCCTGAAATATTTCAGTGAAAAATATGCTGTTGCTTTTTTTCTATAAGAATCTTATGAGATTCATTTTTATACTATGCCTTGAAAATGCTGTTCGAAACAGTGAGACATTGACGTTAATATTGAAATAAATATATGAAGTTTAAAGCTGCTGTTATCTCAGTAATCTTCTTGTTCAAATTATTACCCATTACTAAAACGAATTATATTAATACTGACTTATTAGAAGAGAAACATTTGTGAAATTTTATCATAGAACTATCCCTAGGGAAATTCTTTGGTGTTTCAGTACCAGATCCTTGACAGATCCAACAAGGATCCTGCAAGGATTCGCTCTTTTTTCTTAAGGAAACGACTAAATCCTGGAGGAAGCGTATAGCCACGGAATTTCAAGAACCTGGCAGGATTGAAAACAAGCTCTTTAAGGATCCTGACAGGTTTATCATTGTTTTTGAACCAGGATTCCGTCAGGAAATGACTAAATCCTGGAGGAAGCGTGTAGCCACGGAATTTCAAGATCTTGACAGGATTCAAAACAAGGTTTTTCAAAGATCCTGCCAAGCTTTTTTCAGGATTTTTAGATATCTTGTGAAAAAAGTTTTCCAGGATCCTTCGAGGATACTGTCGAATTCCACTAGACTTTCAAAAAAAAATGCAGTTTCAGTATGTAGCCGATATTTTCGGTATGTAACCGGTATGTAAAAGTTCTTTTCCGAAACGTTGAATAAATAAATAATAAAGGAAAATAAGGTATGAATCTTAAAATAGCTACTGTTCTTATCACAACAATTTTAAAAATGACACCCATTAATAAAATTAACATTTTTAGATATATTGGATTTCTAAGCGGTTACTATTTATTACTGTGTCCACAAAAGCCATTTTTTAAATAACTTGACAGGATCCTGCAAGATCCTTCCAGGCTTTCCCAACGAATGAACAGGATTGAGACTCGTAAGGATTGCTTATACAACGATTCAAATCAAGATCAGGATAAAAATCCTAGTAGAATCCTAAATCCTCAGGATTCTGCCAGGTTCAGAATAAAAACACAATAAAATCTTAAAAAACCATCCCATTTATCACTATTGAGATTTGACTCAACATTGGTATTTGAAATTATGTTGTAATCTATAGATTTACCAATCTTGGACGGATCCTGAACAAAAATCAGCTACAATCTTGACGAAACCTTTTCATCCATTTTTGCCAGGATCTTGAACAGGATCAGTTATAAATCTTGATAGGATCCTGAAATATAATTCTGATTACACTCTAAACACAAACCTGCAAAGATCTTAACTAGATCCTTGTAGTTCCAGAAAAAAATCTGAGTAGGCACTTGAAGAAATCCTGAAAAGAATCCTGCTTAACCATGAGAAAATCCTGCAAACAGGAATAAGCAGGATTCGAGACAGGATCCTCGAAATTCAGGATCCTGAAAGATCCTTCCAGGCTTTCCCAAGAAATGAACAAGATTGAGATCAGGGCGTATATTGTCTCATCAAGATCCTTATTAGGACTGACATTGTCTTGCACGGTCTCGAAACAGATATTCTATAAAAGTTCTGAACAAGATCCTGACTGAAGCTTCGCAGGATTAGTCAGTTTCGTATTCTGACTGATCTGGTAATTTTCTTCCAAAGACCATTGTCTGATATGGCTATCATTCCTAACAGAATCCTGATACGAAGATTTGGCCCTGATCTTGACGAAATCCTGATGAAATCTTGGCAGAATCCTCTCTTATAATCGTGCGAGGATCCTTGATAGGATCTAGAGTAAATCCTGGTAGGATCCTGTATTCTCAACCCAGAAAAATATCTGAGCAGAAACTTGAAGAAATCCCGAACAGGATCCTGTTTAACCTTGACAAAAAAATCAAACTTTGAGGAGGAGAGTCGACCAGGGATGTCTCCTCCTCTTGGGTGAGTTCAGACTGTTAATTGTTCCAGTAAGTGATTGTTTTTATTAGTAAAGAAGAGAAGGAGACTAAAAAAACAAGAGGTTACACACATTCTCACTCACACAGAACTGAATGACATTAAAGACTAACTGTAAAACGATAATCTTTTACGTAATATATTAGAAAAAGAAACGACGTAACAGATGTCAACTTTATATTAACACTGTTAAAAATATTTACGCCAAATAATGTTGGAATGTGTGAAAATAGGTCAAAAACGTTATATAACGAACAAAAACTTATTAAACGTTTAATAAAGTGAAAATGTGTAACAATAATGCAGTATTTAATGCTTTATAGTGTAGTACTGCTACCGTTAAAACAACAGTAACTGAAAAGACAGTTGCCGTTGTCGATAACGGCCGAAGACTAGTCCTAGTCCATATATCTTGACTGATATTCTATTTGCCGTCGCACCATGGCATAATTATACATTGCATGTACCCAACGGCCAATTGATACACATGCCAAGGACGCTGTTACAATGTTATGCACTTGTAGCTCTTCTTGGTCTATATAAGGCTTGAGGTTTTTCAAACATTCATCGCTGATACTGTCTTTGTCGTACGATAGTAGCATTGATAAAAACTGACTCCTATGTTTTATTAACTGTTGCCAATTACTCACCGGTGTTTCATCATTATTACGTCTGAATAAGATACAAACAGCTTCCAAAACCATTTGAACCGCTCTTGATGGACGATCTAGTGTTCTTAATTCGTATATGTCAGCATCGCTCAAGCTCAAGATATCTAAACCTGACAACAAACAAGCTAAAACCAAGACAGTCGTTGAAACATACGGAAGAATGAAGTATAACTGAAATTTACCCGTTAAAGACATTAGTAATTCTTCTTTTGTTTGCTTCCATTTGATTTTGAACGACAATAGTTGTGTTTTGAGTGTATGGAAACGTTTTTCATCATAAACATTATCATTTGTCAATAAAACTGATTGTAAATGAGGATAGAGAATATGTACATTTTCCGTCAATGGTGTTGGGAGTACTTGTTCTAATTGTTTCGAATCCAACTGCATGGTTACGGTCCCGACACGCATGAAAGGTAAAATTACATTTAGTTTTTCTTCCTCAAATTTTGATACATCAATGTGTTCCAGAAAGGGGTACGCTATACAGTTGAGGCGATGAGTAATGTTAAAGAATGAGTAAATGATATCTGCCGATGACAGATATTTGAAAACAAATTCCAGTAACAATTCATTCGGCAATAATAATAATGTAGAAGCTGATGATGGTACTTCTAAATCCACAGAAGAAAGTATGACGTATGACAACAGAACAGCAGAATCTGTCGATATGTGCGGTCGAGCACATATGAAAAAATTTTCAACGCAAAAAAGTGTAGAGTTTTCTACATTGGAAGTTTTAAGAAACCTTCAACGTGTAGACATCTTGGAAATATGCTTAGACTAATTTAGAGATTTCCTTGTTTCTTGATACAGGACTCGTTATGCACTAAGTCATTTTATTTACATATTTACCATCTAATTTTCGTTTCAGCATACAGTTCTGCTATAATAAACGCAGACATACATATTTTCTCAGTTTATTACTCTTATCTCTTCTTCCTCCACCCTGCCACTCTTCTTCCTCCACCCTGCCACTCTTCCTTACCAATTTCCAGTACAGTTGCGTGCTATGTCTTTTCGATGTTCTAATTATTTGTTTTCTATTTTATAATTGACATACCTAAATGGTCATAGATGATGTTTATTCAAATTTCTATCTCTTTCTGTCTAGTTTTCTTCGGAATGTCGACTGTCATTGGTGAGCTACTTTCTCAGGTACATTTTCGATATTGTAGAAAAATGTCCTCAAAATATGCCAGTAACCAGCTTGCGTACTGCTTTTATTGTTCATCCCAGGTGAAACACGTCTTGTAAGACCTTGCAAGACCTGATGTTTTCCTGTGAAATCTTGTAATAAGGTCTTACGATATGATCATACAAGATCTTATTATAAGATAATATAAGATCTTATGGAATCTTGTGATAAGATCCCCCAAGATCTGGTTATGAGAAATGACAAGGTCTTGTAAGACCTTATGACAAGAATTCATATGATCTTGTAAGATCTTACAAAATCTTGTACCAGAAATTGTTGACTTTTATATATTTTTTTCTCACAAGACTATATAAGATCTTACAAAATCATATGAATTCTTGTCATAAGATCTTACAAGATCTCATAAGATCGATAATTCATCTCTGCCATATAAATTTTGCGATGTAATACAGTACATATATAACATCATTCTCTTTGAAAAGCTTCAAACTCTTTTCTCTTTTGAACTTCGCACGTCAGTTGAGCACATACGAAGTGCATGGTTAAGAAACATGGCAAAAGATGGTCCTGTGGCCGCCTAGGGCCAAATGTTAGAAATTATATTAAAAAAAGAAAAATGCAGAGGTACAGCGGATTCGACAGGAAATGATCAAGCGTATGATCTTGTAAGATCGTATAAAATCTTGTGACTTCTTATAAGGTCGTATAATTTCTTATAATACGATCACCCAAGATCGTACATGATCTTGTGAGATCTTCCAAGATCTTGTTATCTAATCCTTGGACCTGGGATGCTTAGTCGAAAACTAAAAACACGACCAAGAAGCATTTCGAAAATCATTTTCCCTCTAATACGTTTAAATTGATAGCAGCAGATATCAATGTAAAACATTTTCCTAAACTGGCTAATGCCCTCATCATCATCAAAAACAGGTGATGTAAATGTCGAAAATCTAACAGAATTAGTGCATGTCTTGAGCATTGAACAAATCTACAGCGGGTAATTACTTTACCATCTGATTCTCTAAAAAATGGTTCATCGTATGTTATAGCTGCACCTCTCACTCTGAGATATCTAAGCAGTGATTATACTGGACAAATATTACTACTAATAGTAAATAAACATATTGCAACTCCTCTTCTAAAGGGATCCGTTTTTGAAGTTTTCAATATCACTGTTGCCGCATCTTTATTTGCTAGTAAATCTACGTCACACGCAGTCACGTATTAGTTAGAATCAAATTTATCCCGAAACAAGCCCACCGCATGAAAGAAGCCCAAAAATGTCATGGAAAAGGCCGCTTCCAACCTGTATCCCAATACTTAGACTGCAAAGTACAAAAAGAGTCTTATCATCAATCTGATCGTTACTTGCTGTGGCTGACGCTGATATTGTGGTTGCTGGCAATAAACGTTCGCTAGCTAATATTGGAGTATCAGTAGTTAATATACTTGCTAAGGAATGGATGGTGATTATGGGTGTCACTTTACTGTCCTTTACCAAATAATAAGTAATAAAATGTATTAGTTATTACCTCGAAACAAGTAATAAATCTTATTACTTTATTATTTATTACTTTTTTCAAGTAATAATCTTTTGTTACTTTACTTATTACTAATAAGACGAAAAGTAATACAAAATAATAAGTAAAATGATGAAAAATTATTACATAAAGAAGTAATAAGTAATAAAACAACAAGATTTATTACCTTTTTACCGGTAATAAGTAACAAACGTTTATTACTTTTACC